CGGGGGAGAGCCTAGGCCCGAGGGATGGCCTGAGTCATCCCAGGCAGACAGAGGGCCCAACGAGCAGGATGGACCCTCCCCACCTCAAATGCCAGTGGGGTCATTCCCCTGCCTCCCTCCTGAATCATGGTCAGGATTGTGGAAGCGGATGGCTGTGAACACTCAGTAGAGTTGCTGACTGTGCAAATCAGATAGAAGGAGGTGGCCTTATCAAAGCCAAGGCCTAACCTCAGAAGGATCCGCCTGCCCACGAGATAGCAAGGTGGTGCGTTCACAAGCCCAAGATGTGGAGTAGGGCAGAGCTGGGCTCCACCGTTTCTTAGCTGCGTGACGTTGGACAAGGCTCCCACTCTCTGGGACACAGTTTCCTCACCTCTAAAATGAGAATAATGCCAGTATCCATCTCCAGCGTTGTTGTGAGCATTAAATAAGGTAAATACAGAGTTAAGCTCACTGCCAACACTGAGCAGGCGTTCGGCAAACAGAAGTCATTTCAACTTTATTACACGTCGTGAGAAGGAGTGAAGCTCCACTACCTGAGTTACGTAAAGGCCTGGAGAAGCTGGAGCCAATCCCCAAAGGAGAGATGGTGTCTCAGCAGGAGCAAAGGAGGAAACAAGGCAGAAAAAAGTATATGTACAATTTCAGAGGTCTCAGACTTGGGCTCTTGAAAGGACATTTAAAGACTGGGGGGACCACAAGGTACAACCAGCCCCCACCCTCAGGGCTGTTCTCAGGCTTGTCCAGCCCCTGGGGCCCCAAGCTGCTGCCCAGGGGCCTCTCAGCGGGTCTCCCTGAAGCCAGGGTCCCCATGGAGAGGTCCCAGCGCCCGCCCTTCCCTATGGTGGCACCCAGGCCCCTCCCTAGCCATCGCTCCCACTTAGGAAGCAGCCATGGCAAATCAGCACCCTCCCCAACCATGTTGCCAGCTTCCTGGGGGCCAGAAGCCCTGGGTTCCATACCCCGCTCTGTGAAGGTGGCCCCTCTGTGCCTCAGTGCCCCCGCCTCTGGACGTCAGGGGTTAGATCACTCAGCTGCCAGCTTCAAAGTCCTGGGAGGTGACCCCCACCTCAGGAGGTCAGCCCTAGTCCTCCTGAGCACCTCCTGCCCAGGACATTCCTCAGGGGATGCTGGAGCGCTCCTGGGAGCCAGCCCCCTCCTGAGGCCCCTCACACAGACTCCAGCATACCTTGGAAAGAAAGACACCCAGGTGGAAGGGAGTGGGACCGCACAGCAGCCATGACACAGGGCCATGCAATGGGATATATGTGGGCGTGGAGAAGGAACTGACCATCTAAGGAGAAAACATAGGCCAGGTCTGCAGCGCCCAGGCAGGGCCTGGCATGTGCCTGGACCCCAGGAAAAACTCAGATGAAAACACGAAGAAAAGAATCAAAACCTCCCCTGAGTATAGGGATGGGCATTCCAAGAGGTCTCCCAACATGTGAGACAGCAGGACAGGATTAGCCCCAATTGACAGATGGGGAAACTGAGGCCTTGGGATGTGCCAGAATCACATAACCAGCTCATGATCGAGCTGGGACTAGAGTCCGTCTCCCACTAACCACTGCCCTGTACCCCCAAAAGGGCTCTGTGCACCAGGGCAGCTCAACAAGCCAGCCTCCCCAACCAACTGGGGGCTTGTCAAGAGCTGGGAGCCTATGCAATTCATCCCCATGTGCCCCCATGCCCAGCACATAGCAGGTGCTCAAGACGTGTTTGCTAGTTGAATGAATGGGTGGACTTTATCCAGGGCAAGAAGAAAACTTGTATTTCCCCAGCAGCCCTGAGGGTACAGGTAGGTCAGACAGACAGACAAAGCTTTTCTTGACCTTGGTGGGGGTAGGTGGGAAGGTACCCTGGCTGATGACACACTTTTGGGGGGCAGGACCCCCTCAAATTCATGGGCCACGCCCAGCCTTCAAGAGGACTCAGGGTCACCAGGCACGACACAAAATGGCCAGATGACCCTTGCCATGCAAAAGTCACTGTTTCCACCCTGCCTCTGGCCACAATCAAACTTCGTGTCCCCCTCTACCAACAACAGATTCACTCTGCCCATACTTCAGATGGAGAACTCAGGGCGCAGAGAAGGGAAGAGGCTTGCTTACTGCCCTGCTTTGGTCACACCTGGGGGACTGCAGACACTGTCCCTCACTGGCGGCCCCACCAGGGACAGTCTTAGTCTGCAGCGAGCCCCCTCCCACCACTCCAGAGGGACAGTAGGGGCGGTGGGCAGGGAGCTTCCTCAGAGGTGGCAGTCTGGTCACAACCCTCTCCCTGGCTGGGCCAGCTGCGCGTCCCCACCACCAGCCAATTCTTCCCTGCACTTTCCTGTTTCTGAACAAACACACGCCTGCGTTCTCAGTCATTGTCCTTCCTTGCTTGTGGCAGAGGCCAGAATGGGTGTGGAGCAAGGGCCCAATCAGGGCTGGGATGCTGGGTACCACCGCCTCCTTGGGGATCTGATGATGTCACCCTCATGGGACCAAGCCCCACTGCAGATGGGGAGACTGAGGCGTGAGGTCAGAAAGGACGAGCTCAAGGCCTCGAGGTGGCTCCCCCAGCATGAGTTACCACCTGGGGGGCAGGGGTGTGCTGCCCTCAGGAGGAGGGGCAGCCCTGGAGGCAGAGTCAGGGATCTGGGAGTTTAGTGGAGGGAGGTCAGTGATGCTCTAGCTGCCCCCAACCCGGGTACCTCCACCTCTCACCCTGCCAGGCAGCTCCCAGCCCTCACCCATGACCCCCCATCACTCAAGGGCCTTTATCAGGCCCAAACTACTGCTCCCCGCTATTCCCCTCCACCAACCCAGGCCCTCTGCCACCCCGGGATGAACTCTGCCCACACACCCAAGAGGTTTTCCAACTCCCTGTCTTTGCACAGCTGCTGCTCTGTCCAGAGTAAGGACATCCATAGCTCACACTCAACTGTGGCCCAAGTCCCAGGCAGCGCGGGCTTGCAGCTTTCCACGCCTTTGCTCTCAGTCTTTAAACAACCCTGCCATCACCACCCCCATTTACCAGACAAGGCCACTGAGGCTTGGAGAGGTAACTGGCCAAAGGATGGCTTTGTGCAGAGCAGGGGCTTGAACTCTGATTTGATTCAACCACTCCCTCTGCCAAAGGAAACTCTACCCATCTGGTGAGACCCAGTCCAAATGTCACCTACTCTGTGAAGCTCTCCCTGATTTCCCAGATGTAACTTCTGTTCAGGGACAGTCTCCTCCCCCCTCCCTGCAGGCTGGGTGCTCCTTTGAGGCTGGGACACAAAGCAGTGACTCCTGCACAGGCGAGCCTGGGAGCTGGGGCTCAGACGATGGCCAGACATGTATTGATTGTCTCTGGCTCAGTCAGCTGAGCAGGAGGGGGCCTTCTGGTCCTCTCTGTGCCCGCAGGGATGGAGCTGGGCTGAGGTGAAGAGTGAAGGGAAGGTCACACAGGGCATCGAGCAGGAGTGGGGTGGGTACAGGAGGACTCATGGTGACCTGAGCGTAACTGGCCATCTGTACAGCTCCCATTTCTCACAACCTGAACCCATTTCCTCACGGAATCTTCCGTGTATCAATACTACTAGCCCCCTTTTACAGCTCAAGAAACTGAGACTCAGAAAAGGGAAAAGACTTGCCCAAAGTCACAGTGCTCGAGCCCAGATCTCTGATGGCCCGGGCCAAGCCTGGAGGGAGGCAGTAGCCAGAGGCCTTTTCAAGGAAGGCAAGGGGGAAGAGAGCACAGGCCTTGGGAGGCCCTTAAAGACTGAACTCCCAGCACACACACGTGTGCCTTCCCAACCTCAGCTTGAACCCTCCCACACACAGGGAACTCACTACTTCAGGAACTCACCACTTCCTGAGGAAGCCCTGTACATTGTTGTTGAGCCCTGACTGTGGGAAAAGCCTTCCCCATTCTGGAAGAAGCAAATGAACGTATGCCGCCTGCCTGCCTCACTTATCCTCATACTGACGAGAAAACTGAGGTTCAGGGGCAACTACAGGGCCCGGGCCACACAACCAGTGCCCGGAGGGGTGGGTATTTGACCAGATTCCAAGCACAGATTTGCTCAAACCCCTCTGGGTCAGGCTGGGCACGGGGCCAGCCTTCCAGATTCCGAAGATAACCTGATGGTGTAAACTCAGCCCAGGTGCCCACTAGGTACTCCCAAGCCCCCTCCTCCCTCCCACCCACGGGCGCGTCAGTGGACCTGAGCCTTTGCCAGGGACTCCAGCCTCCCCAGGGCCCCTTCGAAGCCCTCCTCCTTCCAGGGGGCCTCCCCCCACCTCCTACCCAGCCATGGAAGGAAGTCCCGGCCCCCACCCAGCCCCCTGGATCACACGCCTTTCCAGCTGTGGATCCTGTTACTGGAAAAAGAAAATGCTGCTTGCACCTCCCCCTCCAGGTCCTGCCTCCTGGCCTTGAAAAGAGAGAAACTCATTTCAAAGGAGGTGGCGCCCACCCACTCAGAGACGTCCTGGACAGATGTTACCAGCCACCACACCGGTGGAGCCAAGGACCCCTGGGATAGGACCCCCTGAGGTCCACCCACGTGCCCCTCCACCCAAGAGGCGGGGGAGTCCACTTAAGTCCCAGAGGAGCGAAGAGGGAGTTGGGGGGAGGTAAGCTGAGAGGCCAGGGCAGTGCAGGCAAGGGGAGGAAAGCCAGGTCGCTCAGGATGATGATGCCCCCGCTGCTGAGTAAACTGAGGCACGGTGGTCAAAAGTGAGAGGTGGAAGAAAGAAGCTGAACTGCGATCCCCCCTTTGCCTGCGCTTGGCAAGAGGAGACACCGGAGCCTCAGTTTCCCCACCAGGGTGGAGGTTGAGGAGAAGCTGGGGGAGTGGGAAGCAAGCAGACACAGTTCCGGGCAACCAGAAGGGGCGGCTGAGAGGGTCCGGGGTAAATAGACAGCAGGAGAACCCAGGGTCGCGGGCACCCCAGGGCATCAGGCGGTGATCCGGCGCTAGGGAGGGCCTGGGGTCAGGGGTCAGGGGTCGGGGTGGCGCCTACCCCTGGCGGGCCGGGTCCGGCTGCGGGAGCGGCTCCTCTGTCGCTGCAGCCGGGGCCGCCTCAGCAGCCGGTAGTAGTAGGAGGGCCTCCCGGTGCTCTTCCTGGCGCCGCCCGCGGACATGCTGCCGCCCGCCGGGCACCGGGCCGGGCCTGGGCGCGCTCACACGGGCCCCATCGCCCGCTCCGGCCGGCCCGGCGGGCGTCCTCGCGTTCTCCCGCGTGCCGCTGCGGCCGCCGCCGAGGCCGACGCTGCCCCACAAAGTCGCGCAAACTCCTCCTCCTCCTCCCGCCCTCCCCGGAGCAGCCGGCCCCGCCGCGGGGGCCGGGGACCGGGAGGCCGGACTGGCACGGGCCCGGAAAGTCAGTGCGGGAGAAATCCCGGCCTGGAGTCGGCGAGGCCAGGCGGGCCGGAGTGCCCGGGACCCCAGGCAGGTCCCCAGGACGGCCACCGCCCTCCCCCCGCGCCTGAGAGCCCGACCTCCGGGCGCACGCGGCGTCCCACCCCGCCGGCGGGTATAGACAGTGCACACCCGCGTGTGGGCGCTCCCTGACACAGGGCAGGGCGCAGGCAAGGCGACCAGGAGGGCACCGTGCTTCCGAACCGGGAACCCTCGATTAGGGTCCGAATGAGGCCGGTGCCGCAGGGCCGCTTTCCGCCCCAAGCTCACTGGGCTGCGTGTCGATCCGCAAACACACACCGTCCAGCATGCCCCCCC